GTTCGAGRCACAGTAGCAATGATAGGCAGCGATAGGTTTTCCATTAAACATAGGTTTCTATCAAACACCGCGGAGTGCGGTTTTCACACCAGTTGCTTTGTCCGTATTGCGCTTCAGCCAAACTCTGTGCCAGATATAAAATCTTAGTCTTTTCAGATTATCAGTTGACCACTTTGTTGTACAAAAGTTAACTTTTCATTCTTCTGAAGTCCATTTGTTATTTTTTCTCTTGCTATTTTGTGTCTCTTTGTTTATAATGCCCTTAGGTAAATTTACTACCTGCTAACATTCTTTCTAGTTCAGGAATTTCCTGAAGCAAGAACCTAACACAAAAATGTTAATTTTTCCTTTTTTATGTATACTTTTTTTTTTCTGTTTCTTGAGCACATTGTGCAAGTAGATGATCCTGTTACTTTGGCTGCTGCATTTAATGTTACAAATTTAATACTTTTGTTGTTAGGCTKTTAACTCTGATGCTTTTTTTATAAGCATCATTTCACACCAGGTTTCGTCCCTTTTTTTCTGATTCCCTTCTAAACAGGCAATGCAGCTGAATGACAATATCAGGCAAAATAAGATCCATAGATGTAAATATAAAGAAACTACTTTTTAATCATTGAAAATTTTCCTTGTGATATTTGTAACTTGGAAATAGTCTAAGGTTTTAAATGGTTGCTTCCATTTACAATTATTGATAATTTATAATCAAAATAAAATGGTTGTTTTGAATTGTATTCATTCTGATTGCCYAAGTCTTGAGTGAATGGATATTTTTGGTAAGAGGAAAAGGGATAAAAAAATCTGTCATTTTATTCTGTGTAATGAAACAGACAAACTTTCACCAGAGGTCTGCTGCTAATTTGCATATACTCATCTATATATTTATTCTGACATGTTTCTACTTTAAATGAACTGAGAACAACTGAAAACCGAGTAACCTTTGGTAAATTAGTTTTAAAAATAAGGGCTAGTTTTCTTTTTATGTTTCACATTCCTTATGTGTCATTGTATTCTTTATCAGTACCAGCTAGTAAAATACCCTTCTTTTTGCATTAAAAAAGAACTCCTAAAGTTTTAAGTCGCCTGACAAATTTGTAGCTAATAGTATATAGTATAATCTTAGCTAATAGTATATGAAAATATATATAGCTAATAGTACATGAAAAAGTGTTTTAAAAGATCATAAGCACTGTGCACCTAAAATTACTGGTTCTAGAAGCACTGTAAAGCAAAAGAAAATCATGGATTATTCATAAGTAAACAGAGGGAATATGCAAAACTACTGTTCTTACATGTCCTGCAAAGACTGCATCTAATTTTTACGTGGTTTTGAGTTCTTTTTAAATTTGTGTGAAGAGAGGAATCACGACTTGCAAGTTTCTGTTTTGCTCCACAGTTCATTGGTTTATAGCCTATGAAGAGCACTAAATTAGCTTATCTTGACTGTCTTCCCAAATTTCTCAGCTTGACCAGTCTGTACCTTAAGCCAAAATTTTTCGTTAGTTACCTTGTACCACAGATGTGTCATCTGTAATCAAGGAAGCAGCTATTCCTTCCTTATGCCCTCCTCATCTGTTAAACCTCTTAAATTTCTTAAAACAAAGGTTGTTTAATTTTGGTTGAGTTTTAGGTAAGTTCATATATCTAGTTATGTCCCTCTCTACTTATCTTGAGGTTATTGGAGCCCACTCCAGCAGCTGCAGCAGAAAAGCCTTCTTTCTTCCTGCCCATCTTCTGAATACATTTTTTATGTTATGTRTTGCAGCCAATTATGTAAGAAGGTCAGGCTTCTGTTTTCATGAAGCTGCTTGTGGCCTGGCTTGAAGTGTTGAGCATGGGTCTGTTCTCACACTAAAAACATTTTTGACATTGAAAATACTTCTGACATTATAATTTGCTTCTACTATATCAGTAACACAAGATGTAGAACTTTTTATATACTATTGAAATCTTTTGTAAAAGAAATCTTCTATAAAATCTTTCATGAAACTGTCCATTGTAGGGAGCAAAGGGAAAAGGGARGGGGTGAATGGAAAAGCAGTACGGCTGTTTCCCTTATTTCTTGATGAATTCAGGATAATCCATTACAATTTCTGTTCTTAAAATTGACAGTCCTCTGTAMATTTCAAACAGTATTCAATTGCATCCTTTGCTACATCATTAGAATGTATTTGTAATGATTAAAATCAGTATTCTCCAGCCCTCAGAATTRCTCTGGCTTCCTCAGCTAAGTCTTCTCCTCACTAATATTCCTATAGTAAGTTTTCGTGTGTTCAAACATGTCTAAGGTTGCAAAGATAGGATCCCTGTAATGTTTAGGGATCGCTACGTCTGGCCTCTCTGAGAAGAAATCAATTTCTGGTGGTAATATTATTAGAAGTTTTTTATTAGTAATGAAAGAAAACTTGTTATTGTTTCAGATGCTGTTTTCCCAGTTTTCATGTTATACTACTATAAATATATTCAAAACTAGAAGAGCTCACTAAAATGTAGCTCCTGCACATGTGTCTGAATGTTAAATTTTGTACTATAGAAATTATTCAGGAGGGTCCTGACATATCTTAACTCTGCCTACTTTATCGGCTCAAAACAAACAAACCAACAGTCTCTAGCGAGCAGGAGAGGAAAAAAAGTTTCGTCAGAGCCATGTGTYTCTTGAAGTTCTCTTAGCAGGGGCTGTCCATCAGAACAAGTTCAAGAGTTGCAGATGTATTTATATCTGAAACTTGCCAATAGTAATCTAAACAAAAATACTGAATTCCTTTAGCAATTTGTTTAATTGTTATTTGACAGATTTTATAATATGCAAGTGACCTGATGTTATCCATTTTTTCCTCTGTACCTAGCTCTGTAATGGATGGAACTTTTGCRAGATGTATTTGTGATTCAGTTTGTAAATGACATGAATTGTGTAGAACCTAGCAGTGGCATCTCTAAATATGTATTTACCAAGTCCCAGACTATATTTAAAATCCGTGTTCTGCATGCTCATTGTCAAAGATTCCATAGGTTGTTTCAGAAGGTGAAGAAAATGTTGTTCTCCCTGGGATGAGTGAAGAGAATCTTGAGTGGAGTTTGGCTATTAGCTAGGAGATTGGAATATGCTGGAAAGAATCTCAGGTTGTAAGCTATCCAAGAGTRCATCTGAGACTACCAAGGATGTAAAAATACTACCTTATGTACTGGTACTGAAGAGTTAATAATGGATAAAAGAATTCTTCCATACTAAGAAGAAAAAGGAATCTACAAGCCTTAGAAAAAAATGTTTGCCATATTTGGAAATTTGTAGAATGACTACGTTTTTCCAATGATTGAAAATATTTTTCAACTTGTTTAACTTATATTTAAATTTGAACAAGGCAACAAATGAGCTGAGTTGAGAGAGCTTTAATACTCTGTAGAAATGGATTTGGTGAATGAAGCACAATTTTGGCAGTTTTCCCACAAGGAATTGCTACAGACATTTCAGATATCTGGATGGTCTTCCTCTGGCAGTAGCGGTAAAGGATGAATCTGTATAGCTTAAGAGTTCACTAGCTCTTTGGTGCTGGAAAAGAGAGTGAGAGGTAATGAATCCTCTCACTATATTCTAATTTAGAGGTGCCTTTACATTTCTCCTAGGAAGTATCAAATAAAAGTAAAGAGTTGTTTTTTCCTACCTATGAGCTTTGAGGTGTAGCTTGTTGTAAGATATTGGTATGATCCTTATTTATGAGTTACAGCCTCAGTCCACTAACGTATTTCAACRTCTGTGTAACTTTTAGCATGTGGGCAGTTGCCATGTGAAGGGTCCCATACAGTTTKATATGGGTGTGATTTGTATCCACATTCTTGCTCACTATTGCCCGTCAAGAGCTGTGCCATTTTAGGCAAATTGAGTGTAAATATAGTCATTTTAAATATAGAGTGAAATTTTAAAAGTTGAAAATGAAAATCATTTTAAATATAGAGGCAAATTTATAGATCCATGTGGATCCACTTTCATAGTGTAGATCTATAGTAGATAGGATATTATAGATATTCTTTCTGATGAGGGAAGATATGGTGGTAATGATTTGCCATGTCTGTTTTCTGCATTTGGTGGTGAGTTAACTTGACTGACTTTGGCCATGTTACTTTTATTTTATTCTCAGAAGTAGTAATGTCTTTGAAAACAAAGAAAGGAAAACTGTAAAAATCTTTGTGAACATTCCGTTATGGTACTAAGGGATTTTTTGACTATACAAAGGCTTTACATTAGAAGGCCAATTTCATATTATCTGTAGTATGTTCTTGCAGTAGAGACTTGCTACAGGTCATTTCAGAAGGGAAAACTATATCCTGTAAAGTGTGATTAACCAGTTGTAAAGAAGTCCAATAATCTCAACAGTGTTAAACTACTTAGGGTAGATATGAAGTTACCAGTACTGCCAAATCATTTGTACTCTCTCGTGCTGTTAACTTTATTATCAGTCTGATCAATATTACACAGTTGGGACATCCTTCCACTGTATACATGAAAACAATTATATTTTCCTAGCTATATTGTAATCTCATTATTTACTTCCAGATGTCTATAGGTTTACACTTTTTCTTTTATTTCTGCTGATTTTTTTTTTAATATGGAATGGGAGAATTAACAACCTGACTGATTTGGAAGTAAACTTTTACCTGAAACTGTGTGGTGGTTCTTTATAGATAGAAAGTGAACTTTGGTGCAGAGTCCTTTATTTAAATACAATAAAAAGTTGTATCATCTTTTGATGCCATAAAAGGACATCAAAACACCTTTTGCTTTAGAGCACGGTCTTTTGCTTTTCCTTTAATGCAAGATAGTAATTTCAATAATAGAGGGAGTACAGAAATCATTGCTAGACTTTTGTAGGACCAGAGATTGAAATATAGCCTGTTTCTTGAGTGGATAAAAGATAGCTGCTGTTCAGTAATGATGTATGGTTATATGCTATGTGACATTTAAGAATAGCATCACTGGCATTGATTATTTATTTTACTTTTTAAAGGGTGTGATTAAAAGTTTTATGGATGTCTACCAACTTGCGAGCTCCAGAGTTGGCATGTTAGAGAGAGAAATAGCATCTCATCAGCTTCACATTGCAGCCTTGAAGTCCGAGCTCCAAACAGCTTGTCTGCGTGAAAGTGAGAGCTTACACTTGGTAAGTCTGCTTTTCAGGTCTTCTTTATCATTTGCATATACAGCTTCCTAGCTAGCATCTCCCTTCATGTTGCATAGTTCCTCTAGGGAAATGCATAATATTTCATTATAAATATAATAAAGCAATAAAAATAGTATCAACAAAAATTGTTTTGAGATTTCTTCAGAAGTGAATGTGGGATGATAAAAGTTAGAACTATGATAAATCTTGCTGCTGTATCTTTACATAGACGTTGCTGCTAAAAGTACTGCATTGTGATTTYTTTGTCTTTGGGAGTACAGCCAAAAGTTGGATTTTGACCTAAAGAATTCAACTGTCTAAAGATAAAGAACAGTGCCCCATTAAAACAGAATGTAATTAATTGTACATGTAACCAAAACATTAGTTAGGATACATGATTACTTTTTAGGCAACTGTGCTTACAAATAATACATCTCATTAAAGGAAAATACTATGATTGAGTTATAAGGTAAAAACTCAATTTCAGAAATCATTTCTTTTCTATAATGTTGCTTCCCGCAAAGATACTTGGACTTGCTTAAAGCTAATAAGGTGATTCTTCAGATCTGGGATCCGTCTCTGGGGGGATTATTGAATGCAGATGTATTTGTGTCACACAGGCAGGAGGCCAGGCACATAAATTGTCACAAATATGTAGCCAAGTATGTCTAGAATGAGACTGTCTATGCAAGYTGCATAGCTGTTTTTTTCTCCTTCCTTTACTTTTCTACACAAGATAAAGAGGAAAGCCTTGGAGTTTTTTTGTTTAGTTTATTTTAGTTGGTTAGTTGATTTTCTGTCCTTCAACATTTTGCTTCTCAAGAAGCAAAAGAGTGAAAGAAAATACTATAAAGAAAACAGATTTTTTTTTGTCTTTTTTTTTAATATAAGGGAGCAATAATTTAAGACAATGGCATAAATATGAACAAATAAGTACTGGAAGGCTGTGACTGTGACTTTGGTTGTGTCCCAAAGTATTGCATTAATTTCTTGTCATGCTTCTAAATTGATCATCACAAAGGGAGATTAGCACAAATTGAAAATATTTTCCTTGCTGCTGAATTTCCATTTTAAGACCACTAGATGATAGTTGGTGCATGAAACCATTGTTTCATTTGGGACTTTGCAGGATCTTTCTAAGAACTCACTGAAATTGCTTCACTGAGATCTCATCTCCTCCAACCATTTATTTTTTGTTCTCTGCTAGGTTTGCATGTGTCCAGCTGAGCTTCTGCCCAGTCTAAATGGTTCTTCCTTTGTCTGCATGTTATAATTGTTTTTGTTGTTCAAATGAAGATGACCACATTTATACCAAGGGTTGAGAAATCTGCCACATTTCCTGCAGTGAGGTTTGCTTTCATTTGAACTGAGAGTGCTTTCAGCAGGGACAATGCGAGTGCTGTCTTTGAAGGGCTGTGCTGTGGCTTGGTGTGCCACACTGGAAAAAAAACAAGCACCTCTCCACTCACTCTCACTAATTAATTGCAACTCATTGTAGGTGATCTGTGTCTCTGTTTGCAGGATCAAGGCAAAGATTATACCATTTGGTGTTGTAGGATCTGTAGGCTCACTCTATGGCCTAGTGGGGTTGGGAGGAGGAGGAGGTGCAGCTTAATTGTAATGTAAGCATAGGTATTAATAGAAATTGTAAAATTTATTTAGATTTTTCATAGATTAAAAAAAATCTATGAAAAGATTTTTTTAAAAAAAATCTATGAAAAGCAAAAAATAATGTATTTTCTTAAGTTTCTTAAAATATGACAAATATTTATGGAATATTCTGTAATATTTACATTTTCTGTAGAGTTTATCCTTAATATTGCAAATGTATCAGTTTTAGTGGCATCATAGCTTCCCAGAGTGGCTTTTACCTTTTTAACCATTAGTCCATATTGTTCTGTTCCATTTCGGAAGAGGAAGTCTTGCAGAATTTCCTTCTGCATGATACAAAAAAAATACAACTTTTATTTTCTTGTAATGGCGGCACTCTCTTYGATTATTTTTAAAGGGAAGTGATGTCTTTTCCCAGGCATCTGTCAGGTTTCAAAATTCTACATACTTGGTTGCTTTCAATACATGTGGTTTAATCACGTACAGAATAACACTTGTTAGACTGGCAGAATGTTTTGTCAGGATGCAAACACTGCGCACCTGGACTGTTTTGGTTTATCCTGTATGTCAGTTTGTAGAACTCATATCCTATGTCATGTGTTCCTAGAGTAATACCTATCTAGAACAATTACTCAGTGCTGAAAACATTCTGTGAAGTCCTTTGTGAACAGATATGGTCTCTTTTCATGTTAGTTCTGGCTTTATCTTATCATGTCCTGTTTCCTGATGTTTTCCATGCTGTTTGCATGTGATTCAATGCCTTCTCAACTGCCCGTTGCATCTGCATCAGAGCCATTTCCCAGCAATGGTCTGTTCAGAAGGTGCTCTTTCCCCAACTGACCTCTTTACACTGATACCTGCTAACAACRTGACCTTTCCTTCCACACAAACGCCTTGGTCCTCTGCTTCTGCATAGGGTTTTGCTCATTATTTTACAAACAAAACTGATGCCATAAGCCAGTGTCAGGTCTAAGYCTCTGAAGTGACATCTCCATCCTCCAATCTACTTCTAGTGCTACTGCCTTCCTTCTTGTCGATAGTGTTTAAATTGCTGCCTGTGCTCATGCTAGTGCCTACAAAGGCACTAGTTTTTGTAGACAAAGACAGGACAAGACAGACAATGGTGAGGCAAACCATGGTTACAGAGAAGAGAAGAAGAGAATAATTATGTGAGACTTCCCTATATTCTGTGTACATCTCTGTCCTTGCACCTTACACTTTCCTTAGGAAAKCTTAATGCACTTAAAGTTGACCTTAGTAAAAGCAAGTCACCAATAATATTTGTGCACACAGTTTGTGAATCTTTGTGAAGAACAGAACTAGCAAAGATGTTAGCTGAAATGTTTCCATATTTCTTTTTCTCCTGCCTGTTTCTTCAGCAACATCTASTGATGTAGACATCACAAATGGACTTCCTACTGATGCTTCCTATTAAAGGACACTTATCATTTACTTCAACAAGTCCTTTGATTTCTTCTTCAAATATACTGGCTTATTATTATACTTAACTTCTATTCAGAATAGCAGTAATGAGTAGTCTGAGAGAACTGAGAGCTTTTGAGTGGTCTACTGTGCAGTGCTACAGTCATAAGCAATTACTTTCAGGATGCTTTGGGGTAACCTGTGGCATCATATAATTCCTGTGGCAGGCTTGTGAATCCACGGTATCTATCCTGCCAGGGGAGAGTCTGTTGCTGCAAGCACAGTGTTGTGAGGAGTGGATATAGTGACACTGTATTTTCCAGTGTGATCTCTGACACATATGAGGAAGTGACAAAATTCAATTCATTATAGTAGTTATCCAGAAGGTGTTGTTTTCATAGCTTTCAGCTTTGAGATTTCGTGCACTGGTGTCAGCACTAGTGTCAGAATTTTAAAAACTTAAAATATCCTGGTATCACTTTTGGCAGACAAAAGAAGACTCTGTTATTCTATTTCAGGTAGTGAGGTGTTTCTCTGATCCTGAATATGCTGCTTTTTCTCTCTGTGGCCTTTTCTCTTCTTCTGCATTGTCTACCTTTGGGCAAACCAGCATAAGAAGAAAGAAATAGAAAGTGATACTTAAGTCAGACAGAATCATTTGGCTGCTCTGTTGAAAACACTTTCCTCCTCTGCTTTAACTTAAGAATGAAAGGACGGTAGAAAATGAGTGGGAAAAGARAGTAATGTACAAAGATGATGAGGAAAGAAAAGTCTTGTGTCCAGTGGAGAAATGGAAATTCAGGAAGCCAGAAGGAAAACTTTAACTGGAAGGCAGGGAGGGAAAGTGAGTGTAAGATGTCTGGAGGGAAGGGTGAAGTGAAGATCTGTAAGAAGAGCAGAGTTCTCAAACTGACCATGAAAACARGAAGTGTTGTTTTTGGATGCTGATCCTAACTTGGGTTGAAAATCAAATCACTCTTTGCCTTATGCGGCTTTGCATCATCCTCACCCTTCCTTTCACCACATCATGGCTGTGATTGTCCCTTATCTGATAATGGAACCATTGTCTGATAATGAGCTCCTGAGGTTCAACAAGGACAAGGGCAGGGTCCTGCCCCTGGGCAGGAATAACCCCAGGCCCCAGCACAGATTAGGGGCTGACCTGCTGGAGAGCAGCTCCACAGAGAGGGACCTGGGAGTCCTGGTGGACACCAAGTTAGCCATGAGGCAGCAGTGCCCTCGTGGCCAAGAAGGCCAATGGSMTSCTGGCTGCATGAGGAGGATGTTGGCAGCAGGGGCAGGGAGGGGATCCTGCCCCTCTGCTCAGCTCTGGGGAGGCCAAACCTGGAGCACTGGGGGCAGCTCTGGGCTCCCCAGGACAAGAGGGACGTGGAGCTTCTCGAGAGGGTCCAGMGAAGAGCGACAAAGATGACTGAGGGAGTGGAGCATCTCTCGTATGAGGAAAGACTGAGTGAGTTGGGCCTGTTTAGCTTGGGGAAGAGAAGACTGAGAGGAGATCTGCTCAATATTTGCAAGCACCTGCAGCGGGAATGTAGCTCTTCTCAGTGTACAAGTTGAAACACAGGCAGATCCATGTGCGTGTGAGGAAGAACTTCTTTGCTGTGAGGGTGCCAGAGCCCTGGCACAGGCTGCCCAGGGAGGCTGTGGAGTCTCCTTCTCTGGAGATCTTCCCAACCCGTCTGAATGCCACCCTGTGCCCCGTGCTCTGGGTGTCCCTGCTGGGGGTTGGACTAGGGGATCCCTGAGGTCCCTTCCAACCTTAACCCTTCTGTGATTCTATGAATTGCTAATGATATCCTGTAGAATATTGAAAGACGAGGACTGTAAGTTTTGGCAAGGTGAGAGAAGTAAGTGGAATGATCTAATGTGTGAGAAAGCCATATTTGTTGTTGAGATGCTGGTAACTGAAATATACTTTCATGGATTTTACTGAAGAGCCACATTAA